GATGGAGCTGCGATTTGATCTCTCTATGGAGGCTTGGGGAGCCTGGTCAAACCTTGAGACTTTTGTGCCTGTACCAAGGAGGGCTTGTCCGTGGGGTGCAGTGGCCCTTGCTCACCCCACACACCAGGGACCCCTCTCCACTTCCTTAAATCCAGTGCCTTCTAAGGGCCTGTTAATGCCTTTTCCTTAATGCCTTTCCTTCCTACATCTACCTCAAGTTCTTTCTTTCTCTGACCCCCTCATCCCCTCTCCTGCTGATCTTGGGGGCCTGAAAAGTACTTTCCTTGCAGGCCTCAACCTAGCCCCAAACCTAGCCCACATGGGTGCCTGCCTTCATGTAAATCTCCATGGATGAGTTGCCCAATCTTGTCCTCTGTGTTATGGGTCTGATATAGCTCTATGGCCTGAATCTTGGGTCCTCGGACTAGCATCTGCCTGACACCCTGGCACATGGTCATAACAATAACTAACCTTACAGAGCACCAATTCTGTGCTGGGCACCGTGCTAAGCACCTTAAGTAATTAAGTCATTTAATTATCACAAAAGAAGACATGGATTACAATGATTATCCCATTTTAAAGCTGAGCTAACTGAGGCACAGAGAAGTTAAGTAACTTGCCCAAAGGTCACCACTGGTAAGTAGTGGAGCTGGGATTCAAATTCAGGCAGCTGAGTCCAGAGCCCACATTCTACAGGCCTCTGCTATGTCGCATCTCCTCTCCAATGCCCTGTTAATGCTTATGATGCTGACTGAGAGAGGGCAACGCCCAGTGGCGTGGAGCTGGGGGACATGGCTACACTGAAGGTCAAACACCAGAAGCCCTTTGGGGTTCCCTAGAGGTGGGAGCTGACAAGGGTGACACCTATTACTTGGGGAGGGGAAACATGGCCCTTGCCTTCTCCAATCCCCAGTATCTATTTTCTGCGCTGGAGCTCTGCAGCTAGACAGTTCCCCTTCCCTAACTCTGGAGGCAGGGGAAGGGCTGAAAGATCCACCTAGAAGCCCAAGCTGAGAGTCAGAGTTAGGACCTCCAGAGGCCGATAGATGTCGCTCGTGGCCCAATACAGCCCCGGCAGCCCCCGGAAACCAAAGGAAAACAAGCCAGCAGGTTAACCCCTTCCCGCCTGGCTCTGGCCCCAGGAGCAGGCTGGTGGGTGGCAGAGGGCCCTGGCCCAGGCCTGCCTGGCCCCTAGAAAGTGACCCATTCCTAGGCTCTGTCCAGGCCACAGCCTGGGTCCACTTCTGCTGCTGCCCCACAAGTTCTCTCCATAAATCACAGCCAGCCAGCCCCTCGGAGCCTTCCCAGAGGGCCAGGAGACTAAGACATGGACGAGGCAGGGAGGGACGGCCCCACCCCAGCCCAAGTTTCATTTCTCGGGCTCTATTTCTTGAAAGTCTATGGGTGTCTGTTTCTAAGCACTCCCACTTCAGGAGAGCTCCTCATCTCCATCTTCCCTGAGGGGGACTCCCCAGGTGGAGAGGGGTAGCATGGACCAGACAGAGAGGAGGCCCCAGGCCCCTGTGGGTCAGCTACAGTGACTTACTGTGGGTTGCCCAAGACTCTGTTTCTTCCTATGTCTGCACTCCCTATCTCTGGGCTCCCTGGGGCGAATGGGCTTACAGTTACAGAAATAGTCATTCAACTCCTCCAGGAAGTTGAAATTGGGGGTAGGGGTCCTGGGGGATCTCTGCTTGCGTGTCAGTCATTTCACTCCTTACTGCCTTGCCAGAAGCCGACTTGGAGTGTGGAGGGGCTGCCATGATGATAAACTGGAAGTGCTTGGCAAGCAAGCGGGGAGGCGTGGGGTGGGCAGGAGGGCTGTCCAAGGGATGGTGAGGCTCCTAGAAGTCTTAACGATGAGATGACACCACAGTGTGGTTTCACCTCCTCTCTAATTTTTGTTCCGAGACACACAAATGAATAGATCCACGGAGAGAGAGGAGCCTGAGGTGGGAGTCGGTTCTAGAAGCTCAGGACACTCTTATTTCAGTCATTCCAGAGGAAGAAGCAGAGACATGGAGATAGATGTACACAGAGGGAGACAGAGACACAGAGAGAAAGTTCCACAAGAGATTAGGGATAGAGATACATTCACACAAGCAGAGAGAGGCAAAGACACAGAGAGGGAGAAAATCTGGCACAAATTAAACCTCAAGAAAGAATGGACATTGTGAGGTGGATGATTAATTCAGTTTCCAAAGTCTTGGAAGGGTGGAGGTAGTTTCTCACCTTTGGTGTCAGAAGGTCACTGTTCATAGTTCCCTGAAGCTCCTGCTGCCCCCATGAAGTTTTTGTCTGTTGGTAGGAGAGCATGGGAGGCTTGGGGACAGGGTAGCATCCTTGTTCTCTCACCTCTCCCTGTTCTGGGGTTCATTGGTCTCCTTCCTTACCACCTGCAGGGAGACCTTGCTTTTCTCTTATCTGAGTCATGGCTGTGCTGAGGTGTGCAGAGGGTGGGAGAAGCCAGAAGATAACTGGCCTTAGGGGGTTTCCAGTCTAACGAATATATTATAGCCAGGACATAGAAACAGACCTAGACAGAGGACAAGAACAAAACTAGGAGTGGACAGCTTTGGACATTGGTACTGGGATGAGGAAGAGGGAGGGAACAGACTGTTAGGTGCAGCCATGGGATTAGGATGGTCAGGAAAGGCTCCTGGGCAGAGTATTTGAGGGGATGGGGGAGTATAGGGCTGGGCAGAAAGCAAGGCAGAGAAGGGAGAGAAGTCAAATGGTAAAGCCATGGAGACAGGGGTTTGGACAGTAATCAGAGATGTATGAGTCTCAAAGCCATTAGTGAAGAGTTGTTAGGAGATGCCAGAAGTGCCTCCGTGGATGTTCTATATACAGCCCTTCCAGGGCTGCAAAGGAGAAGTCTCTTATACCAGGGGCAGCAGGAGGGCCAGAAATAGTCTCCATCCATTGTTAATACCCTCAGGTGGGTGAGAGATTGGGGATGGCTGAAGCTCCCTGATTAGCAATCACTCTGGGAAAAGTGTTGTGAATGAAATTTTGAAAGCGTGATGACCTTTAGAGCTAGAACCCAGCATCTTCGAGGTCCTCACAGAGCCTGGCCTCTCGCGTCCCAAGACTTCTCAATTTACCCCTATGTAAACAATAAACTACAACCCCCAGCATCACTTAGTGCTTATTTGGCTCGCCTTCCGGGGATTTGAGCATTTCCGGCGGAAGTGGCCTCGGCTACGCCAATCTCCTTCCCTAAACAAAGTAGACTACGATTCCCACTGTCCTCCGCGCCAGGGGTGGGTGGGATAAGAAACCGGAAACCGCACGCGGACCTGGACCAGGTGAGGCAGTAGGGGGCTGGAGGCCTGGGTCTCCGGGGCAAGCTGAGGGCCCTCGGGGGTCCGGGGCGGCAGCAGGCCGGGAGCTGGAATGTCGGTGTTTTTGGGCCGCTCGCTCGGTCTGGGACTCGCCCTCGCGCAGGAGAGCCGAGCCCACGGAACTGCCCTGGAGTCTTGCGAGGACGCGGCTTTCCCGTCGGGCGGAGCCCGCGGGCGGGCGCGGTTTCTTAGGGAGCCTTAGTCTTCGGCCCCCTCGGAACCAGGAGGAGGGATGTAGTGGTCTCTTTGAGTCCACGCGCTGTTATTGTTATTCGCAGTGTATTATTTATTCTTCGTTTAAGGATTTGCTGATTGTCCCTGTGGATCCCTGGAGTGCCCCCAAGGGACAGGGGTGTGGAGTGTTCTGGATTCCTTCTTCACTTCTGGGTTTAGTGTCAGAGAACCTAGGTGGCCAGACATAATCGCTGGATCACCCTCTGCTTCCTTTGCAGTTAGTGTAATATGACACTGTGATTTATAAAGTATCTACATTTCTTGAGTTTCTGGCTCTTGGTCACTCTAGGTAGGACTTCCAAGTGCCTCCTTTGGGCTCCCATAGTGTTTTGTTCAGGACATTAAAAGCTCGAATCACAGTATATGTACAGTTGTCCTTCTGTCGTCTCACAGTAGTCTCTGAGCCTGGCCTACCTTTTACTCATTTTGTATTTGTTTCTTACCAAGAGACTGCCACAGTGCCTGTCACGCAAAAGACTCATAAATATTAGAAAAAATAAATGAGTTAACAACTGGTTGTAGGTTGGATGGAATTTGTTATTTTCATTTCATAGAGAGGAGAGGTAAATGATTTGCTAAGAGATTCTTTTTAGAGATGAAAGTAGGATTAGACTTTGAGTCAATTGACACCTAACCTGTGGCTCTTGCAGTCAGGCTTTGAAACTCTGGAACACTGGAAATAAGGCCTTGTCATCTTGTGAACCACCAGCCTTGCTGTCTCCAGCATAGGTCTCTAATGATCAAATGTAGGCCCAACTTAAGACTTGAGAGAGATCCCAGAGCTGGAGCAGCCAATCCACTGATGTTGGCATGGCCTGGGCAAAGCAAAGCAAGGGCTCCTGAAACATCTGAGTTCTGCACATCTCCCTTCTCAGCTTGTTTGAGTCCAGTGGGCCCTGGATAATCACCTGGGCAGATCAGTTAAAGGCTTCAGAGATCAGTCTGGGGAAGGAGTTCTTAAGTTTGGTCCCTGATTTTTTCTTTCTCACTTCCCCCAGGCCAGGGTCAGAGAACAGGTTGATAGATCGAGCTGTTGGGTCAGCCGGGAGTTCCTCCTGGGGGAAGAGGTTACTCTTGACCTGGGCAAGGGGTTGAGAGGAAAGAAGAACCATGGTCCTTGCCCTGTGGGGGGGGGGCCTAGACGTGATGGAAACATGCCCAGAGCCTGACAAGCCCTTAGAAGGAAGCAGGCAGAGTGCAAAGTGGGCAGCTGAGCCTTGAGTGAACTCAGGATATAGAAGTGGAGAGGAGGGGGCAGGTCCCGTGCCTGAGTGGTTGGGTTCGCGTGCTCCACTTCGGCGGCCCAGGGTTTCACCAGTTTGGATCCTGGGCACGGACATGGCACCGCTGGTCAGGCCATGCTGAGGCGGCGTCCCACATGCCTCAACTGGAAGGACCCGCAGCTAAAAATATACAACTATGTGCCGGGGGGCTTTGGAGAGAAAAAAGGAAAAATAAAATCTTAGGGGAAAAAAAAAAAGAAATGGAGAGGAGTCCATCAGGAAGGGCTCCTTGGTAGAAGGTAGTTTTAAACAGGATTGAAAAAGAAGGGAATGGACAGAGCTGAGCAGGTGTTTGTTGACTAACAAGAGCTGGGACCTTGGAGATATGGAGGGAAATCGAACAGGGCCTGGCCTCTGATCTGCTCAAATCTAGTTGGGGAGGCAAGGTGTGAATTCATGAAGAAGCCACTAACCATGGTGACGCGATGGTTCTCAGCCTTCACCAACCATCAGAATCACATGGGGAAACTTGTTTAAAATCCTGATTCCCAGGCCTCACTAGCCCTACTCGTGTGAGATGGGGTTGAGGAGCTGTGGCAAATGTGCAGTGTCCTGAGGAGGGAAGGCGTTACCAAAGGAGTGGTTTGAGCTGCATCTTGAAGGATGGGTACGATTTGGATGTGTGGAGCGGCTGGGGAGTCTGTCCTGGTTGACTTGAGGAGTAACTTTGCTTTGGGTTTGTAGAAATGGCATGTGCCAAGTTTCGGAAGTTGGGGTAGGAAAGGCATTTTGAAAGTGTGAGTGGAATGATCAGGCTGGAACACTGGGTTTGCGTGGGAGTGGTGAGAAGGAAGACTGGAAGGAACGGCCTTTGCAGGTGACAGAGGTCACTGGAGTGCTCCCTCTGCCCCCCGCCTCCTCCCCTTACTTCCCTCTTTGTCTTCCCCTTTTTCCTTCCTTCCTCCCTTCCCCCCTTCCCCTCTTTTGTTCTCCCCCCCTCACTTACACATAACATTTCTTTCCATCCTTTATATCAATCTTACGAAGTGGATATTATTCTTAGTATAGATGGTCCCTGACTTATGATGGTTCGACTTATGATTTTTCAGCTTTACGATGGATGGTGCAAAAGCGATAGGCATTCAGTAGATCCAGTACATCGCATTTTGATCTTTTCCTGGGCTAGTGATGTGAGGTAGGATACGCCTGTGACGCTGGGCAGCAGCAGCGATCTGCAGCTCCCAGCCAGCCACCTGATCATGAAGGTAAACAACCGGTACGCCTACAACCCTTCTGGACCCATCCAACCATTGTTTCACTGTCAGTACAGTAGTCAGTAAATTACATGAGATATTCACCACTTTATGATAAAATAGACTTTACATTAGATGATTTCGCCCAAGTGTAGGCTGATGTAAGTGTTCTGAGCACGTGTAAAGTAAGCTAGGCTAAGCTATGTTTGGTAGGTTAGGTGTATTAAATGCGTTTTCCACTTACGATATTTTCAACTTAGGATGGGGGCCAGCCCCGTGGCCTAGTGGTTAAATCAGGCGCACAATGGACTTATCAGGACATAACCCCGTCCTAAGTCGAGGAAGATCTGTATTTGGTTGAGGAAACCTGAGGCTCTGACCATGGTTACACAGCTTGTAAGAGTCTTCTCTTTTCTTTTTTCTTTTTCTTTTTTGAGGAAGATTAGCCCTGAGCTAACTACTGCCAGTCCTCCTCTTTTTGCTGAGGAAGGCTGGCCCTGAGCTAACATCCGTGCCCATCTTCCTCTACTTTCTATGTGGGACACCTACCACAGCATGGTGTGCCAAGTGGTGCCATGTCTGCACCTGGGATCCGAACCAGTGAACCCCGGGCCGCCGAGAAGCGGAACGTGCAAACTTAACCGCTGTGCCACCGGGCCGGCCCTGTAAGAGTCTTTTCTGTGTCTGGTGGTAATCTCACTCACCACTGAGGTGGGTTTTTTTGTTGTTTTTTTCTTTTGGTGAGGAGGATTGGTCCTGAGCTACATCCGTTGCCAATCTTCCTCTTTTTCCTTGAGGAAGATTGTCCCTGGGCTAACATCTTTGCCCATCTTCCTCTATTTTGTGTATGGGATACGGCCACAGCATGGTTTAATGAGTGGTCTGTAGATCCATGCCCAGGATCCGAACCTGCAAACCCCGGGCTGCCACAGCGGAGTGTGTAAACTTAACCACTACACCACCGGGCTGGCCCCCTACTGAGGATTTTTGAATGTGGGCAAGAAGCTGGGCTGGGGTTGTAGAATTAGCAGGGGGCTGATCGAAGTCTCTCAGGCAAGATGGTTTGGGTGGTTAAGAGCACAGCCTTGAGTCACATAGTTTGGGTTCAAATCCCAGCTTCATTACATGCTAACTGCGTGACTCTGGGCCAGTGGCTCGATCTTGCTAGGCCTCAGTCTTCTCACCTGTAACATGGGAGCAATAATCCCCACCTCCTGGGGTTGTTTCGAGGCTCAATGAGGTGTATCTGGCACAGAGCCGTTGCTCGCCACCTGGAAGCTGTTGTAATTAGCCCTCTAATTAGTCTCTGGGCTGTGGCTGTGCACCTGCCTCTCATTCCTCAGCATCCGTTTCCAGGACACGGGCCATCCTGGCTCGGCTCGTTTTATTAGGGATGATGTAAAGGTGCTGAGAGTTTGCCGCCCGTAAATATTTATTGAGAGCCTACCATGTGCTTGGCATGGCCTAGGAACTCGTGACTCAAGACCTGTGCCTGATGGAAAGTGGGGGATGGTTGCTGGTTATGGGCTATTCTCAGCAGGTGATAGAGGAAGAGGAAGGATACTTGAAGCGGGGAGAGGACGGGCCCTTTGTTACCAAGAACTGAGATGAGCTCAGTCCTGTGTGGAGGTTGGGGGATGACTGACACAGTCTCTTCTGAGCTCAAGAAATAGTACTAGGGGCCCTGGCCAGCCTGGATCCCTCCCACTCTAGGGCTGAGGACTGATGGGGCTACTGTCCATCTCTTTTCCAGGTGACAGTGACATGGCTGTGCCCCAGGCTTTCCTGCTGGGGCCCCTCCATGAGCCTGCAGGTGGCCTGATGGAGCCCCAGCCCTGCCCTCGAAGCTTGGCTGAGGGCTTCCTGGAGGAGGAGCTTCGGCTTAATGCTGAGCTGAGCCAACTGCAGTTTTCAGAGCCTGTGGGCATCATCTACAATCCCGTGGAGTATGCGTGGGAGCCACATCGCAACTACGTGACCCGCTACTGCCAGGGTCCTAAGGAAGTGCTCTTCCTGGGCATGAACCCCGGACCTTTCGGCATGGCCCAGACTGGGGTAAAGGGCTTGGCTTCTCCTGGCGGGTGGGGTGGGAGGCCCCAAGGTGGATGCTTGCCTGCGTGTGCTGTGGAGGAGGAGCATGTGCATGGCTGCAGCCCCCATCCCCTCCCAACACACACACTGGCTCCTGTGTTCTCAGACAGTCTCCTGGCCCCGCTGCCGTAGTTAACCCAGCACATTAATGGTAGTTCCGTTTCCCCTGTGAGCTGTCCACTAATTGCCTCTGAGAGCCCTGTCTTCCGCCAGCCTCATCCTTACCTTGCCGGATCTCCCCTCTCCCTAGAGTGTGGTTGGGGTCAGGAGAGGGACCAGGGCTACCATGTCCTCAGGGGAGACTGCTTGACAGGGGTGGGTCTGGAAGAGATGCCAGGCGTTCAGGCATCCTGGGTTCTGTTTCTTAGCTGAGGAGAGGTTCGGAGCAGAGCCAGGTTCCAGGACCTACTTGCTTTCCTTTCAGACCTCGCTGTGAGTGACTGCCCCTCAGTTGGGCTGCTCGGCAGGTGGGGGAGGGGAAGAGGCTGCAGGGCAGGAGGCTCAATCGCTTTTATTGACCTCAACTGGGGGATGAAGGGTGATCAATGATGATCGATGGAAATGACAGCCTGAGGCTTGGGGCTGAGAGGGCACCCAGAGAGCAGTGGTCAGCCCTGTCCTTGTGCCTCCTCTGACCCTGGCTCCCTTTCTGTGTCAGACCATCTGTTTGTTCCCGGTACTACCCATCACGCCCTGGGTAGGGCCAGATATCCCTATGTACTTCCTGTACGTGGTCCCAAAGGCTAGTGGGGTAGAGGCAAATAGATTCTTCTGGACCACAGCCCACAATGAAAAATTGGAGAGACGGACAGGATCAAACCACAGGGCCAGGAATCCTTGTCTCAGGCCTTTGGTGGTGGTGGGGGGGGTGTGTGTGTGTCTGCAGGCTAGATCCTCCTGGAAGGTGGAAAGGGGTCCAGAGCCCAGGCATCGGGTCTCCAGTGTGAAATCCTCATGTCTCTCTCCTTCCCCACAGGTGCCCTTTGGGGAAGTGAATGTCGTGCGGGACTGGTTGGGCATTGGGGGCCCTGTGCTAACCCCTCCCCAAGAGCACCCTAAGCGACCAGTGCTGGGACTGGAGTGTCCACAGTCAGAGGTGAGCGGTGCCCGATTCTGGGGCTTTTTCCGGAACCTCTGTGGACAGCCTGAAGCCTTCTTCCGTCACTGCTTTGTCCACAATCTGTGTCCTCTGCTCTTCTTGGCTCCCAGTGGGCGCAACCTCACCCCTGCTGAGCTGCCTGCCAAGCAGCGAGAACAGCTTCTTGGGGTCTGTGACACGGCCCTCTGCCGGCAGGTGCAGCTGCTGGGGGTGCGGCTGGTGGTGGGAGTGGGGCGGGTGGCTGAGCAGCGGGCACGACGGGCTCTGGCAGGCCTGATGCCCGAGGTCCAGGTGGAGGGGCTCCTGCACCCCTCACCTCGTAGCCCACAGGCCAACAGGGGCTGGGAGACGGTGGCCAAGGAGAGACTGAATGAGTTGGGGCTGCTGCCACTGCTAACAAAATGAGTGCCCCTGGGGCACATAGGACACAGTCAAGGCCCCAAGTCATTCTTGGGCACGCAGATCTACACGCCTCCTGGACAAGCAACAAGGTCATCCTCAGCTCCCCGCTTCCTGGGAACCGCGTTCTTTGATCATTGGAGCTGTCTTCCGACCCGCTCGGGCAGTCTTGACACTGCTCCTGCTTGCCCTCTGATCCCTGCTTTCGTCACCTTCCTTTGAGCATTGCCTCTTTGGCTCTGTGGTACCTAGCTCCACAGAGAGTCAGCAGCTGCAAACTGCTCTACCTCACTGTTTCCTTGGGAGTCTCTCTTCAGCTGAGAGTCACCCACACAGTGACTTCTGAGGTCATATTTGCTGTTTTAGAGAAAAGATCCTGCCAGGATCCCCACCTGTCCTCATAGAACAGGTTGCTTCAGCTGACCCCTTTCCTCACAGGAGAAAGCATGGGGCAAGGATGGTAAGAGTGAACTTCTTATGAGAGACTGAGGCTGGATCAGAGGGAGAAAGAATTCAGTGTGGCAGAGTGGGAAAGGCCCGAAGACTGGGATTTTCATCCCAGCTTTGAGACTTGTGAACTTTATGACTTGGGACCAGTTGATTAACCTCTCCAAGCCTTAGGACCCTCATCTCTAAAATAGGGATCCCTCCCCATGGGGTTGGTGTGAGGGTTAACTGAGACAACCCTTGAGAGTGCCTTGCATAGTGCCTGGCACAGGGGTACTCGTTACACCTCTTGCCTCCGGGCTGGGGAGTCACTGCACTACAAAGGAAGCCCCTCCACCCTGAAGACCCTGCTGGGGGGTCTGGGCCTCCTCCTTGGCCAGGGCGAGGGGCGGATTCTAGCCCTGCCAGCAGTGGACCAATGACTTTATGAAAAACCCAGCTTATGATTTTTCAGTCTTAAGCATTAAAAGCTCCTAAACCCTTTGTCTTGGTCCTTTTTTTCCCTCCTGCATGTCAGGGATGGAAGGTGGTCGTTTAGATGTTCCTCTCTCTTACCTCTTCACTGTTTGCAAAGGGTTCTCTTGGGTAGCTGAGGGCGTTGATGTAAACAGACCAGTTGCCTTACCAAAGCTGCAGGGTCTCTGTTAGAGGCCTGTCCCGCAGTTTGGGGACACTGCGGGGAGCAGGGGTGGGTGGATGGGAGCCTGGGATCTCCAGCTAACTCGTCTCTTCTGTCTGCTGCATGACTGGTTGGCGGGCCCCTTTGGTAGGGGCCAGGAGAGTGCTTCGAGTCGGGAGCAGAGCAGGTCCTGAGACCACCTTCCCGAGGAACACACGGTCGAGCTCTATCTCTTGGGACAGGTGGTCTCCAGCTTTCAAAATTAAGATTTTTAGTACAAGTATCCCCCTCCTCCAGCCAAAGTGTATAATAAAGATTTTTTTTTAACAGATTGGCACTTGAGCTAACATCTGTTGCCAATCTTTTTTCTTCTTCTTCTCCCCAAAGCCCCTCAGTACATAGTTGTATATTCTACTTGTAGGCTCTTCTAGTTCTGCTATGTGAGATGCCGCCTCAGCGTGGCTTGATGAGCGGTGCCATGTCTGTGCCCAGGATCCACACCAGTGAAACCCTGGGCCACCGAAGTGGAGTGCGTGAAGTTAACCACTCGGCCACAGGGCTGGCCCCATAATAAAGAATTTGACAGGCCTTTGTCCTTGGTTCCTGGGAGGGAGACTCTTAAGTCCTTGGAGTTTCCCAAGTGATAGAAGGATCTTTGTTACCACTGGTGGGCCCCTCAGACCATGCCTGAATTTATGCTAATATTTGACTCAGGCCGAGGGCTGACCATGCCAGTGAGACCAACCATGTGGTTAGAAGGTTGGGACTTTGAGCCAGGTGATATCAGCTTTACCTCTAGGGAGGGTAGGGGGGCTGGAGATTGAGTTCCACCACATGGTCAATGATTTCAATCAATTATGCCTACACAATGAAACCCTAATAAAAACTCTGGACACTGAGGCTTTGGTGGACTTCCTGGTTGGTGAACACATGGATGCGTCAGGAGGATGATGTCTCCTGACTGCACGGAGAAAAGACATGGAAGCTGTGTTTGGGGTCCTCCCAGACCTCACCCTGTGTCTCTTCATGTGGCTGCTCCTGATTTGTAAACTTTATAATAAAACTAATTGTAAGTAGAGTGCTTTTCTGAGTGCCGTGAGTCATCCTAGCAAATTATTGAACCTAAGGGGATCATGGGAACCTCCAGATTTGTAACCAGTAGGTCAGAAGTGCAGGGGACCCCTGTACTTGCCACTGGCATCTGAAGTGAGGGCAGTCTTGTTGGCGATTATGCCCTGACACCTGTGGAGTATGTGCTAACTCCAGGTCGTTAGCATCAGAATTGCTGACAGTTTCGCACCCCCACATGCCTCAGACTCCTTTCCTCTCTTTCTGCTGTCACTGCTAGTCAGTGCCCCACATTGCAGAGCCCTGGATTAGGCCCTGTGGAATAATTGCACAGAGAGAGAAGCCGTTGTTCCCTTATGTATTTAGCTGAAGTAGTCAGGGAAAGCTCTCTGGAGGAGGTGGCGTTTCAGGTGGCCTTAGGGACTGGGAAAGTTTTGGAGAGCCTACAGAAGAGCATTGTTATGTTCAAGGGGTGGTGAGTAGATTAGAGTTGACTTGGCCCAATTGGGAGAAAAAGCTGGAGAGGGAGTGGGCCAGCTTGTGAAGGGTCTGGAATGCTAAACTAATCTTTGAGAATTTAAAGTCCAGTGGGGAAGTGAGATGCATAGAACACACACATTTGAAACGCCCAGATGGGGATGAAGGGGCAGGTGTACAGGAGGCGGAGCAGTGCCATGGGTCAGGAATGGGAAGGGAGGGGACTGGTGTATGGGGCAGATGTCCTGGCAGGTAGCAGAGGTGGGTGAAAGCCTAGAATTGGGTGAGAGTCATGAGAGGGTGGGGCTGGAGCTGGGCAGTGCATAAAGGCGCTTGAACAGTAGTGACCAGGGTGATGACTTGAAGGCAGAGGTGTGGCAGAGTCACTGCTGGGTCTGGCTTCTAGGGGGGCTCTTGTGCTCAATTCTTGGGTGCATCTTGTCAGGGAGAGGCTGATTAGGGTCCTGGGCCTGCATTTTCCCAAGGACACTGCATTAGTCTGCTAGGGCTGCCATAACAAAAATACCACAGAGTGGGTGGCTTAAATGACAAATTTATTGTCACACTTCTGGAGGCCGGAAGTCCCAGATGCAGATGTCAGCAGGGTTCGTTTCCTCTGAGGCCTGTCCTGAGCTTGCAGATGGCTGCCTTCTCGTGGTTGCCCCATGGCCTTTTCTCTGTGGGCACCCCTCCCTGGTATCTCTCTCTTATGAGGACCCTGATCATACTGGATTAGGGGCCCAGCTTTATGACCTCACTTAACCTTAATTACCTCTTTAAAGGCCGTCTCCAAATACAGTCACAATGGGGGTTAAAGCGTCAACATATGAATTTGAGGGGGCACAATTCAGTCCATAACAGGCACCTGAAGTCATGTCACTGCTTTTTCTGTCCCCTACCAATGTCAGCCTCTCACAGAATAGGGTCCTCAGGAGTGCCTTTTCTCCAGTCTAGGGGTCGGGATGGAGGCTGGTGTGGTGGGTTAGCTAGCTGACAGGACGAAATCCCGCCAGACTGCCCCCGCCCCCATTCTAGAGCAGGTTCTTCAGTGCCAGTAAGAGCGTCCTTGGGGAGAAGAGGCTCACCATTTCCCGAGTCAAAGGGAACGGAGACTTCAGTTGCTACAAAACAATATTGTGAGAGGGATTCTAACTGAACTGAAAGGATTTGGGATCTTCTAGAATTTTGCAGTCCAATATAGTAGCCACTTAAATGTAAATTAATTAAACTTAAGTAAAATAAATTTAATTCCTCAGTTACTAGCCATATGTCAAGTGCTCAGTAGCCACCCCTGGCTAGTGGCTACTGACTGGATGGTGCAGATTTGGAGCATTTCCCTCACTGCGGAAAGTTCTGTTGGACAGCACTGATCTAGACATCAGTGGCTTACAACCCTGCTGTGAATCAGAAGTCACCCGTGGAGGTTTTAAAAAAGGCAAGCATCCCAGCTCCACGAGAAGAGATTTTGATTTGGGAGGTTGGAACGGCAGCCTGGTGTCTATTTTTACAGGATCTCTTTGAGCCAGGATGTGCAGCCAGGTCAAGGCAGCACGGCACTGAGTGCCTTGAAGGCAAGGAGGGGTCTCGTCACTTCCTTTCCCCAGTGTGTAGCCCCACACCTGGCACAGAGTGGGGGTTCAGGATGAATGTGCGAGTGATGCATGAGCCAGGTTTTGGAGATCTACCCCAAGGTGCCCATCCAGTAACATGGGTGTCCCTGGCGTGTGCTGCTTTTGCCCAGGGGTGGTGACTCAAGTTCTGGTCCAGAGGAGTGATGAAGGCTTCCCAGTCCCACCCTGATGCCTGGGCATGCACACACACACTCTCACACACTCGGTAAGACACCAAGGCTGTCCTTGGGGTGGGGTGCTTCTGAGACACGGATGGAGTATGTTGGGGAGGAAGGAGACTCTTCCTACTCTTTTATTTTCTCCCTGCTGAAACGGGGTGGCTTAAAGAAAGATTGGGTCTTGAGTTCGACCACTATGTGGTCCTTCACCTACCTTTCTCAAGTCAACAAATGTTTACTGGTGTCAGCTGTGTGCTGTCACTGTGGGGAGTGACAGAGGTGAATTAGATGATTCTTTGCCCTCATTGTTGCTCACTGTCTGGTGCCAGGAGATACACGCATATAATTATAGTACAAATCAAAGGGAAAATGTGTTGTGAACAAGTTCTAAACACAGCGTTCTGGGCACATTGACCGAGGAGGCGATTAGCCCTCAGAGTGTAGGTGGGAAGTGTGGAGAGGACTTGAGCGGAGAGTTCTTCTCTCGACACTTGCTCAATCTTGCTGCCTCCAATGGAGTGGCTTTTCGAAAAGAGACCACAGTGACAGTTATCGCCAAAGATTTCTCAACCCCAACGGCAAGGGGATAGGACACAGGCTGAGGGGAGGGGCTTGGAGCCAGGAATGGCGGGAACCAAGGGTTGGGCGTGGCTCTATGGGGGATGGGAAGTGGGGCTTCCTCTTTGATCTCTTGTTCTGTGAGCCTCTGGGACGGAAAACCACAGCAGGTTGTGTCAGGGGGTGTCCAGGTGCTGGAGCAGAAAAGAGCAGAAACAGCATGGGCAGAGCTGGGCAGAGAAGACAAGTGGAAGGGAGGGAGGGAACAGAGATTGTGGCCCAGACCAGACTAAGTCTTGACTCCTCAGATGGTCTTGTGTAGGAGAATGTAGGCTTATTGTCTATTTTTTCCTAATGCTCCAAAGAAGGAAATAATTTCAACTGGAGCATGCAGCATTGAGGTTAGACACATGGATAAACTTCCCAGCTATGACCATCAAGTGATGCAGAAATAAATTGCTTTGGGGGAAGCTGAATTGCTTTCTTCTTCAGAGGCCTTAATGCCAGCCTGGCCCCAGCCCAAGCTTACCAGTCAAGGTTGAATTATAATGTATTTGGGAAAAATTTCTCTCCCTTTTTCTCTCGCTCCCTGTTTTGTTCCTCATTCTGTCAAAAACAAAACAAACAAAACTGCAGTAGTTTTCCTGCACGCCTCCTTGCCCATTCTTCTGCCCCTACCTTCCGCTCAAGGATGTCAGCCTGATGGCAGCCTCTAGGCCTGGTTCGCAAAGGGGGTGGCTGAGAGCCCAGAAAAGTCCTCCATGGTGGCCTGTGCCAAGCCGGGTTGCCATTTCCATTTTCATTAATTGAAGCAGCTTGACCCTGATCATTTCAGGCCAGCAATTTCCTGTCTGCTGGTTGGGAGTGTGTGGGAGACAGGCCTCAGCAGGTCATTCTGTCCTTCCATCTACCTTGACGGTGATAACTCCCAGTGCAGGCTGCAGAAAGAGGTCTCCCACTGCAGTTGACAGG